TTTTTTTTTTTTATTATTTTTTTTTGAAACTCTTCTTTTAAATATTTTAAATATTACAATTTATAGATTGATAGGATTATTACTAATATTTCTTATAAATAATATTCTATTTATATTTAATATTCAATCCCAACAACGAAATGGCATCTCAAAACATTTATGATAATGAAAAGTTTTTTAACAACTTTGCCCAACTACCAAGATCTAAAAATGGCTTTGATTCGTTTTTTGAAGGCCCTATTTAAAGAAATTATTGCCCAATATGAGTGGTATAAATGCATTGGGTTTAGGTTGTCGATATGGTAATAAATTGAATATTTATTAATAATAAAATAATAATTATAGGGTGGTTTTGTAGGGAATCTTTTAAATTGGGTGTAGATGGTATATTGGGTATCGATTTGTCAAATAAAATGATCACAAAAGCAAAAGAGTTGGATAATGATTTTGGTAATAAAGAGGGATTATTATATAACGAAAAGATTAAATACGAAATACAAGATTTGGAATATTATTTTTAATTTTTTTCTTTCTTTTGTGTGGTGGGGGTATTAAATTGTTATTTTTATAAAATAAGATATTACCCTTTTTTTTTTTTTTTTAATTATTTTATTTATATTTTTTTTTAATTTGAATTTTTTCTTTTTTTTTTTTTTTTTTTTATAACATTGTTAATAATTTAATAGAATGTGTTTTAATAATTTTATTTATTCATATGATTACATAGATTATAATTATAATTATAATTATAATAATAATATATATATTAATAATATAGATAATATTTTATTAGTTTTAAATACAAAACTCGATACATTAAACCAAAATAAAGTTTTAAATATTTTAACAACATATTTTAAAAGTTTCAATTTAAATTATTACATAATAAATGATAATCAGGAATTAAATCAAGATTTGCAAATTACAGATAAATCAGTTATTTACTTTTTACCAACTTTAGAAAAATTAGAATTAAATAATTTTAAAGAAATAACATTGCAATATTGTAATGTTAACAAATATTTATTAAATAATAATCTATCAACAAAATTTATAATTTTATCGACAGATACAAAGAAAGAATGTATAAACTATTTAAATTCATCAGTATTGGGGGCAATGAGATATTTTTTAGAATTTAGGCAATTAAATTTATATTTAACAGACTTTGATAAAGCATCATTAAATAATATAAATATAAACATAATAAATAGTATTATTTTAAAAAAAGATGATGCTGGTGATAGAGATCATATTCAAAGGGAATTCATTTTTAGAAATAATCAAATATTAATAGAAATAATAAAGAATAATCCCATGCTATTTATAAAAAAGAATAATTCAAACCAAAATCAAAACTCCAACAAAGATATTGGCAACACTATCCTAGTTACAGGTCAAACAGGAACAATTTTAAATATAATAACTAGGCTTATAAATAGCAAATCAAATCATGTTGAAAATATTATTATTTTAACAGTATCAGATTTAAAGTTGGATTTAAAGAATTTAATAAATAATCATTTAAATGATAACAGCTCTTCAAAAAAATAAAATTTTATTTTAATAAAGTGGATATTAGCGATATGAATTTAATAGAATCTTCAATAAACCAATTATATGAACAAAATAAAGATTTACCAAAGCCAGATTCAATTATTCACTTTGCTTTCATAAAAGCATCTTACAGCTACAACGAAATATCAATGGAGAATTTAGAGAAATCATTATCAGCCAAGGCAATGGGTTCAATATATTTACATTTGCTCTCAATAAAATTAAATTGGCCGGTAAGGCATTTTATAAATGGTTCATCAACATGTTCACTACTTGGTTTAAAAGATGAATGTGGTTATGTTTCAGCAAGCTTAATATTGGACTCTCTAATGAAATATAGAAATCAAATAGGTCTTTATGGGTATTCTATTAACTGGGGTAGTATTTCAAAGAATGAGGCCATTTCAAATGTATTTAAAAGTCAAGGGTTAGCACAACTTCCGAATGAATTAATATTTAATATTATCAACTTAATAATGTTTGGGGATTTAGAAAACAATTCAAATAATTCAAATTTTATTGTTTCAATTTTTAATTATGATCAATTCTTTAAAATATTAAATAATTCAAATTATTATTATTTATTTAAAAATTTATTTATTTCATATTCAGAATAAAACAGTTAGAAATGAAATTTTTGTTTTTGTTTTAATAAAAGAGTTAAACTCTTTTATTATCTTAATAAAATCAAATGCATATTCTAATAATTTAAATTTTGATAGATTTTTTTTGGAATTAAATGAATTTCAAGAAATTATTTTTGTTTATATAATCATTTTAAATCTTCAGATAGATGATTACTCTAATTAAAAAAAAAGTTTTTGTTAGATAAAAAAAAAAAAAAAGGTTGATGCAATTTTTGATGAAGGAATTAATAATAATCCATTCATATTATTATTTTTAAAAAAACCAACCCCTTTGTCTTCTTTGTTTTTTTAAATTTTATGATAATTTAAACCTCCCATTCCAAATTTATAATTTTCTAAAAAAAAGGTTGTTTTTTTTTTGAAGATTTTTAATAATGGGGAATAAGTTTTTTATATTTACAATTAAAATTTTGTAAAAAAAAGGGTTGTTTTTTTTTAACTGTAGATTTTTAATAATGGGGAATAAGTTTTTTATTTTTTTCATTTACTTCTCAAAATTACTATCAAAAAAAATTGTCCTCTCAAGAACACCTCCAAATATTATTAATGATGTAGATGATTCAAAAGGATCACATTTAATTGGTCCAAATAAATTAAATAATTAGAGATTAATGACCAATAGTTTAACAAGTGGTTTCAAGGTAATAATATGTAATTTGTTTTTTATAATCCCTTTAATTCTTTATTAAATTATTATTATTAATTATTATAGGGTACTAAAGCACTTGTAAAATATGACCAACAACATTGATTTTGAAATTCCCAAATGCAAAATCTTCAACATTCAAATTCAAATTTCATCATTCAATTGTTTATGAGGCTGATTGGACAATAAAAGCTGGAGATGTAGTTGAAAATTTTGTTTTTAAAGAAGGTACTGAATCTGAAAAAAAAAATTCATATTTTGTTTTTAATGAAAACTTTAATAATCCAACTTTTTGCGTAAATGTAACAAAGGCAATAACAATTACCACTCAAGAAGTTCATTTACTTCAAAAAGATCAATAGGCACTGGTTATAAACATGGATATGCTGGCGGATTAATGCTCTATTTAATTGAAATTATTTTTGATTAAATCTACATTTTTTATGCGCAATAAATTTTTCTTTTAAATTTCTAAATAAAAGCTAAATCAATTATTAAAAATTAATTTTTTAAAAACCAATTCATGTAAAAAATAACCCCATAATAGTATCACTTTTATAAATTTCCATATAAAATTAATCCAATTAACTTTTGAATATTGATAATATTAAAGGTTCGGAAGGTTTAAAACCTTTAAAATTTGTCATTTTGAATGTATCATATAAATTTGGCATAATGAAAGATAAATATAAATCTCACAATTTGTGATTTAAAAAAAAATGGGAAAAAATAAAATTTTTTTACCCTGCCTTTTTACAATTGAAAAATTATTTACCTCTTTTTTACATTTAATAAGAACCAAATTACAAATTACAAAATATTAAATTATTAATATTAATATTAATTTTTTGAAAAAAAAAAATAAATATAAATTGAAAATTTTTTTCATTTATTTCAATAATATATTTCTTTAAAAATGAATAAAATTTTATTTATTACATTATTATTTTTATTTATAAATATTTCACTAGCAAAAAGAAGATCATATTTAACAAATACTGATGCTTCAATCGCATTTACTGAATATGGTGCCATTAAAGGTTTAGTGCGTGATACTCATCGTGTTTTCTATGGTATTCCATTTGCACAACCACCAGAAGGTAGATTAAGATGGGAAGTCCCAATTGACCCAATACCATGGACCAACATCAAAGAAACTACAACTCAAAAAAAACAATGTGCTCAAAGATGTAACTTGGGTCCAGGTGTTTGTTCATCTATTGGTACATCTGAAGATTGCTTATATTTGGATGTATTTACACCAAAAGATGCAAACCCAGATTCAAACTTACCAGTAATTGTTTATTGTCCAGGTGGAGCTTTCACAGTTGGTAAAAATATTTATATTTTTAAAAAATTTAATTTTTATTATATAATTTTAACAAATTAAAATTTTTTTTTTTAAAACTTTAAAATAGGCACGGGAGCTGTTCCTCTTTATGATGGTACTAAATTTGCACAATCAAATGTTATTTTAGTTAATATTAATTATAGATTAGGTACATTTGGTTTCTTAAGAACTGTAAGATATAAATTATTTATAATTTTAGATGTGAAAAAAGTAAAAGAAAAATTAATTTAATTTATAAATTTTATTAGGATTTAATACCTGGTAATTATGGTTTCTTGGATCAAGTAAAAGCTTTGGAGTGGGTAAATAAAAATATTGCTGCTTTTGGTGGTAATAAAAATAAGGTAACTCTTTGGGGTGAATCTGCTGGTGCTTTTTCAGTTGCCACACATTTAACATCTACATACTCCAGACAATATTTCCATGCTGCAATTTCTTTTTCATCACCTTTAACCATTGGCTTGAAGGATAAAGCTACTGCAAGAGGTTTTTCAGAAAAATTTATAGATAACATTGGTTGTAAACGTGATGATTTAAGTTGTCTTCGTGGTAAATCAATGGAGGAGGTTTTAGATGCACAAGAAACTGTAAGACCTGGTCTTACTGATAGTCCACTTGATGCTTTCACAATTTGGTCACCTGTAATCGATGAAGTTATTATTCCAATGCAACCACTTGTAGCTGCTAAATTAGGTAAAGCATATGATGTTCCAACAATCATTGGTAATGTCAAAGATGAAGCTATTCAATTTGTTTATGCATTCTCGCAATCTATTATTAAACCACTCGAATATAGATTTTTGGTTAGTATTGTTTTCCCATTACAGCAATCAAATATTCTTCCTTTATACCCAGCTGCTCCAATTGGACAAGATTGCAGACCTATATTGTCAGAGCTTATGAATGATTATTTATTCCGTTGCCAAGATAGATATTATCTTAATAGATTTGTTGATCATCACAATTCCCCAGTTTACCACTATAACTATGTCCATGTAAAATCAACCGAACATGCCTTTGAACCATGCGATGGTAAGTCATGTCATGGTAATGAGTTATCATTATTCTTTAATACTTATGAAAAGATGAATGAAAACTTGACCCCAGATGAAAGAGAATTGGCTGAAGATCTAAATAACTATATTGTAAACTTTGCAACCAACCATAATCCAAATACTGGTCTCCCAGTACCAGTCAATTGGCCAGCTGTTACTAAAACCAGAAACTCTACATTAATTATTGATGTTGATCCAGTTGTAAGAGATGTTACTACAAATGATGCAAGATGTGATGCTCTTGACTTGACCTATTATAGAAACCAAGTTAGACCATAAAACAAATGATAACAATATCTACATATTTAATGAATTTATAAAACTCGTTAAAATAAAAAAAAAAAATTTTAATTTTTTAATTTTTCAGTTTTTTTTTAATTTTTTAATTTTTTTTTTTATGAATAATAAATGTTAGTTTGAAGCAAGGATTAATATTTTATTATTATAAAATACATTCAATATATTTATAAAAATAAAACCCAATATTTAAAAATAAAAAAATAATTAAATAAATATATATTATAAAAAAATAAATAAATTCATTAAAAAGTTAAAGTTTTAAAAAAAAAACAATCAAATAATAAAAACCTTTATATATTTTCAATTTTTTTTTAAAAATATTTTTATTAAAAATTATTATCCTTTTTTTATCTTTTTTTTATTTTTCATTATCTATTTTTATCTTTTTTAAAAAAAAATTTAGTTTTTGCATAGCATCTTCCCGATGATCAGAAAACGATAAACGATAATGATAATTTTTAATTTCTAAAAAACTGGCAGTGTTTTTAAATCTAAAACAATTGGAGTGTTGTTAAAGTAGATTTTAATAGGATTAGAAGGTTCTGATCCAAAACCGGTAATTGGAAGGAAAAGTCTATTTCCTACAATATAGTATGAAAGTAAAGTGTTATAGGCACATGCATATTTGGATTCGATGTAAACAGTATAGTCACAAGCATTTACATCCATTCTTTGTATTAACATGGGGTAATTTCGATTACATTTTAAAATATACCATGTATTACGAATACATCCATAAGCTAATTCTGATGCTTTATAGTTTATTTTGAATACATTACGATCTTTAACATCATATTTAATAGTATCCAAACCTCCTGACTGTGTGTTTGATGCCGAGACATTACCAATAATGCAACTTTGATATACATCTGCTCTTCTATTGGGTTGAGAATTACAAAATCTAAGTTCCCCAAAATTAAAATAGTTCTTATTTTATTTAAAATAAATAGATAATTAATATTTTTTTATATATTTATTAATTTATTAATAAATACTTACAACATAACCCAATCCAACTGAATCAACTGCAGAAACTCTATATGGTTTACTAGTATCATATGGTCTTTTTTTTTTAAAATAAAATAAAAAAAATATTAATATTTAATTTTTTAAATTTTCCTTATATAAATTTAAATTATTACTTACAAAACTAAATTTGAAATATCAAAACTATAATAATCCTCATTTGTAAAAATACTTTGATTCATTTTTGCATAACCAACATTTGTACCTCTGGGTTGTGATGAAATATTTATATTTACCATAGATTTCATATAAAATACAAGAGTTTGGTTTAAAGGTGAATAATAAACATTATTATAATATTCATTTTGTGAATTTACAAATGATAAATATAATACAAATAAAAATAAAATTGTATATTTCATATTTTTGTGTGTTTTAAATAAAAGTAAAGAAAAAAAAAAGATTAAATAGTGGTTTTAAAAAAAAAAAATTAATAAAATTTAATATAAAAATATATAAATAATTCGAAAAAAAAATTCTTAACAAGTGAGGAAAAAATAATTTATTTTTAAAAAAATTCTCATCAATTGAGGAAATTAATTTATTTTTTTTTCCTTTTTAAAAAAATTCTTAGCAATTGATGAAAAAATAATATTTTTACATCAATTTTTTATTCACTTAAGTAATATTATTTTTTTTTTCCTTTTTAAAAAAATTAAATAACTCTGTTGTTAATCATTATAAATCTTTAGATGGGGGTATCAGACCACATGGTGATTTTTCATGAATAAAATTATTTTTTTTTTTTTTCAAAATTTAAAAAAAATATTTGTTTGATGCGATATATGATGCAAGGATTATATTTTATTATAATATATCCATTCATATTAAAGCCACAGTTTTTATGATAATTTAAACCTTTCATTCCAAATTTGTAATTTTGTAAAAAAAAAACAAGTAAGTTTTTTTTTTTACTGTTGATTTTTAATAATGGGGGAATTTTGTATTTTTTTTTTTTATTTTTACTATTTTTTGCCTTTTAAATTGGTATTAAAAGAAAAACATTAATATCAGTTTTAAAATTAGTGCATGTTCATTTTTTTTTTCAATTTTTTTATTATGTAAAATACCCCTTTTTTTATTTTTTTTTTTAATTTTTTTTTTTTTTATTTTTTTATTTTTATTTTTTTAATGTGAAATTAATTATATTTTCACTATAAATTAAAATTTTTACAATAATAACATTTTTTTAAATTTTATATAAAATTATACAATGTCTCTTTCAAATGAACAAATTACACGTCTACAAGATTGTAAGTAAAAAATAATTGTTTTATTATGCAGTTCCCGAGAATTTAATATATTAACAATTTTTTTAAATTATTATTATAGGTAGAGATAGATCAAAAAAAGTTTATGAAAACTATGGTGAAAAACTTAAAGTTTATTTAGATGAACAATTACAAGAGTTAAAAAAAATTGACAGTTCCGTTACTACACTTGATGCTGAACAAATGAACAATCTTAAATTAGCTTTTCAAGAGATTCAAGCTGAAAAGATTGCCAAAGAACTTTACGGTGGATTCCCTTTTGAAGATTTATGGACAATTCTAGGGTTCTCATTATCAGCCGACCCAACTGGTATTTCAGGGGTCATCTTTGGTGCATTTAACTTTCTTTTTGGAAAACTTGGTTTATTCAACAGTCAAGAGAGATTGTAAGTACTATAATATAAATTTAAAAAATGAATGTTTTATTAATAATTTTTTTTATAATTTAGTTTCAAACAAATCATGGAAGCAGTTGAACAGCTTATTGATAAAAAAATAAGTGAGGAAAAAAGAAGACAATGCATTATTAAATTCCAACAACTTCAAAAAACTGGTGATGATTATTTTGAATTGGCTGAAGAGTATTTCAAAAGAAAAGGTAATAAAAATGCCCAAGATTCTTTAATATCAAATGAAATCAAGTCAATGCCAAATGAAACCCTTTCATCATCTCTCCAAGTACAACTAATTTTATATCGTGATAAAATTACTGATGGTTTGATTTATTTTGGAGAAGAAAGTGAATTGGTATGTATAGTAATTGTTTCTATAATTTTTAAATTTTTAAAAAACTATTATTAATATTTATTAAAAATAGATTAACACCATTGGTTTATATATTTTAACTGCTTCTCAATATCTATGTGTTCAAAGAGATTGTGCACTTTATGGTAAAGAATGGGGTTTCAGTGATTTTGATGTAAATGATGCCAAATCCAAAATACATTCTAAATCAATTGAGTTTTACCAAATGGTAATTAAAGCTGGATGGGAACTTTCACGTCATGTCCATGGTGAAACAGTTTCACCAATAGTTGGATACTATCTTCCTCCCTATTTTGATGCAGTTAAAGTATTCAGAAATACTGACTTCACTTATTATCCAGTCAGAGCAACAGAATACAGAAGAGAACCTCCAAATATTATTTATGAAGTTGATGATACCAAAGGATCACATTTAATTGGGCCAAACATTTTATCTGGTTGGGGACTGTTGACCAATAGTTTAACAAGTGGTTTCAAGGTAATTATATTAAGTTTGTTATTTATATTCCATTTATCTTTTTATTAATTATTATTTTACAGGGTGTTTCAGCAACAAACATCAATTTACCAGCAACGTTGATAATAAAATTCCCAAGTGCCAAATCAAGAACATTCAAAGTCAAATTTCATCATAGAATTGTTTATGAAGCTGATTGGACTATAAAAGCAGGAGAAGTAATTGAAAACTTTGTTTTTAAAGAAGGTACTGAAACTGAAAAAAGAAATTCATACTTTGTTTATAATGAAAATACCAATAATAATCCACCCTATGGTGTAAATATAACAAAAGCAATAACAGTTACCACTGAACAAGTTACATTTACTTCAAATAGATCATTTGGTAATGGTGGTAAAATTGGATATGCTGGTGGATCAATTCTCTATTTAATCGAAATTATTTTTGATTAAATATGCATTATTTTATGCACAATACAATACATTTTCTTTTTATTTTCTAAATAAAAGTTAAATCAAATTTACATATTTTAAATATTTATATTATTAAACCAATTCATGTCCATAAATAATGTACTATAAACTATAAGGAATTTTCTTTAAAAAAAATGTCCATAAATAATTAATCTTGAATTTTATATTATATTTTTATAGTTGTATTCCATTTAAAATCTATCCAATTTTTTGTTTGAGGATTTTTAAATTTTTGAGGATGAGATTTTTGAGATTTGGAAGGTTTGGAAGGTTTAATATTTTAAACCTTTAAAAATTTGAAAATTTTGAAAGATAAAAATAAATCTCACAATTTGTGATTTAAAAATAGTGGGAAAATATTAAAAAATATTTTTTTTCCCTACCTTTTTACAATTGAAAATATAACCTCCATCAATACCTATAATAAGAACCAAAGAAATTACAAATTGTTTTTTTTATATTATATCAATAATTATATAAATATTAATATAATTTTTTTTAAAAAAAAATAAATTGAAAATTTTTCATTCATTTCAATATTATTTAATTTTTTAAAAATGAATAAAATTTTATTTATTACATTATTATTTTTATTTATAAATATTTCACTAGCAAAAAGAAGATCATATTTAACAAATACTGATGCTTCAATCGCATTTACTGAATATGGTGCCATTAAAGGTTTAGTAAGTGATACTCATCGTGTTTTCTATGGTGTTCCATTTGCACAACCACCAGAAGGTAGATTAAGATGGGAAGATCCAATTGACCCACTTCCATGGAACAATCTTAGAGATGCTACAAATCAAAAACCACAATGTGCTCAAAGATGTAACTTGGGTCCAGGTGTTTGTTCATCTATTGGTACATCTGAAGATTGTTTATATTTGGATGTATTTACACCAAAAGATGCAAACTCAAAATCAAACTTACCAGTAATTGTTTATTGTCCAGGTGGAGCTTTCTCTGTTGGTAAATATAATTATAATATTTTTAAAAAATTATTTTTATTATATTTTTTTAACAAATTTTTTATATTTTTTTACAACTTTAAAATAGGTACTGGAGCTGTTCCTCTTTATGATGGTACTAAATTTGCACAATCAAATGTTATTTTAGTTAATATTAATTATAGATTAGGTACATTTGGTTTCTTAGGAACTGTAAGTAATAATTATAATTAGTAATTAATTTATTTAATATTAATTTATAAATTTTTATTTAGGATTTAATGCATGGTAATTATGGTTTCTTGGATCAAGTTAAAGCTTTGGAGTGGGTAAATAAAAATATTGCTGCTTTTGGTGGTAATAAAAATAAGGTCACTTTTTGGGGTGAATCTGCTGGTGCTTTTTCAGTTGCCACACATTTAACATCTACATACTCCAGACAATATTTCCATGCTGCAATTTCTTTTTCATCACCTTTAACTGTTGGCTTGAAAGATAAAGCTACTGCAAGAGGTTTTGCAAATAGATTTGCACAAAATATTAGTTGTGGTATTGAAGATTTAAGTTGTCTTCGTGGTAAATCAATGGAAGAGGTTTTGGATGCACAGGAATCTGTAAGATTTTCTGTATTTGACAAACCACTTGATGCTTTCACAATTTGGTCACCTGTAATCGATGAAGAAATTGTTCCAATGCAACCACTTGTAGCTGCTAAAGAAGGTAAAGCATATGATGTTCCAACAATCATTGGTAATGTCAAAGATGAAGCTATCCAATTTATTTATGCATTCTCGCCAAATCTTCTTAGACCAATTGATTACAGATTATATGTTGGTGTTATTTTCCCATTACAGCAATCAAAGATTCTTCCTTTATACCCAGCTGCTCCAATTGGACAAGATTGTAGACCTATAATGTCAGAGCTTATTACTGATTATTTATTCCGTTGCCAAGATAGATACTATCTTAATAGACTTGTCGCCCACCACAACTCCCCAGTTTACCACTATAACTATGTCCATGTAAAATCAACCGAACATGCCTTTGAACCATGCGATGGTAAGTCATGTCATGGTAATGAGTTATCATTATTCTTTAATACTTATGAAAAGATGAAAGAAAACTTGACCCCAGAGGAAAAAGAATTGGCTGAAGATCTAAATAACTATATTGTAAACTTTGCAACCAACCATAATCCAAATACTGGTCTCCCAGTACCAGTCGATTGGCCAGCTGTTACTAAAACCAGAAACTCTACATTAATTATTGATGTTGATCCAGTTGTAAGAGATGTTACTACAAATGATGCAAGATGTGATGCTCTTGACTTGACCTATTATAGAAACCAAGTTAGACCATAAAACAAGTGATAAAAATAATAATAACCTGTAGATAAATAATTTTTATAAACCATATTTTTAAAAAAAGTTTAAATAAAATATTATTTAATGTTTAAATTTATTATAAAATAAAATAAAAATGATAACAAATAATTTAAAATTGTATTTAAATATTTTTAGCAAAAGTGGTTGAATCATTAAAATTTTGAAAAAAAAATAAAAATAAAAAAAAATAAAAAAAAATAAAAAAAAAATAAAAAAAAATAAAAAATTTGTTTCGTTTTTATCCTTTATAATTTATTAAATTATTATTAGTTCAAATACTTTAAATATTATAAATAAATAAATGCATACATACACAAACAATTTTTTTTTTTCTTTTGCCTGGAGTGTTTGTATGCAACATAAATCTCAATTATATTTTTAAAATAATAAACTTGATCATAGATATAAAAATTTGAACACACTACTTAAATTGTTTATGATTATTACTATTAAAATATAAAGTTTATCCTTTCAATTAATTTTATTTAATTTTATTTAAAATATCTTAATAATTTTTTTTTTTATTTTATTTTTATTTTTTTAAATTTTTTAAAAATGCTCCGTTTTTCGTTTTTATTTTTTATTATATTTTTACATTCCAACCATATTCAACACTAAAATGAAACTCTTTTTAGTTTTAATAATAGTCTCATTGATATCCATTATTAATGGGGCTCAATATATAAACTTCCAACCATTTTCAGCAAGTGGATGTAAAGGTCAATCAGCAGGTATCGGATATTCAATTCTAGTAAATGAATGTATTTCATACGATCAAAATACTACATTTATTTTCGAATCCAATAATAAAAATCAAATTAAATGGTCAAAATTTTCAAAATATACTGGTGATAATGATTGCCAAAATACACCAATTTCACAAGGTACTTTCAAAAATAATGCATGTATTAAAAATAATAACATTGCATTCGACTCAGCTTCACTCCCAGTTACCAATGGTTTTTACAAAACCAGTATCACAAACGAACCAGTTATTTTAGATAATACCTATGTCAAACAATACATGGTCGAAGATTGCACTTCAAGCAATGTTGTTATGTTAGATTATTTTACCAATGGTACCAAAGCAGTTTATAACAGTACTGGTGTTCCATATAGCTATTTCTGCAGTCAACAAAATAAACCATATACCTATACCTGCTCAATTTGGGGATGTTTCCCATCAATTACTGCTACTAATTGTCAATCAGTATCACCATTCTCAAACTCATCATCTGAATATTATTATTCAGTTTATTGTAATACAAACTAAAAAAAACAGTTTTAAATAAACATAAAATTTAAAATCATAAAAGTGGGTTAAGTGTGGGTGAAGTGTGTGTTAAGTTTGGGTTTATTATTTTATTTTAATATTTATTTTTTTTAATTTTTTTTAATTTTTTATATTTTTTTAATTATTTTTATTTTTTTTTACATTTTTTTTCTTTTATTAAATTTTTATAAATTATAATAAAACTTTATAAAAAAAAAAATGAATGATGATAATCAAGATTTAATTATAGATGAAATTAATAAAATAAAAGAAATTCATATCGATAGGATTCATCACCTTGATAATATACTTAAAACATTAAAAAATAAAAATAAAACTAAAAATGTAAAATTTCCAAAATATATTATTAAAACAATAATCAAATTGGCGTTGAATGGTTATAAATGGAATTCATATGACAGGAGAGTTTATATGATAGAAATATCGTTAGTTTCAAAAGATTGGTTTGGTATAGTTTATAAATTAAAGAAATCATTCGAAATGTATAGCAGCGATTTAGTTTATTTGTATGTAGATACCCACAACCCAAGAAGAATGCTAGAACACAGATTTCCAAGCAAACAATACTATTATAACTATCATATTAATAATTTATTAAAAGAAAAATCATTATACAACTTTAACAATATAAAAAATTTATATTTAGATATAGCATATTTTTATAATAATAATATAGCTTATACAATAATAGATTTTTTATCATACTTTTTTGATAGTATTAATGATATTGGTGATAATAATAATAATAATAATAATGTTTCATTAAAAAGAGTTTATTTAAAATGTTATAACTCTTGTAGATTCAATTTAATAAATATAAAAATAGTAAATAGTATTTCAAAATTTCTTAAAGGAGCAAAGCCAGATATTAATATTTATATAGATATAGAATCAATTTACGAACAGTTTGATGAACAATATTTAATTGAAGAACAGGATAGATTGGTTTCGTTATGTAATTTTGGTAATATAAAATCAGTTTCAAATTATTCAAAGAACACTTTATTTTACGAAGGAACTTGCGATCTAGATTATTTAGAAGTGGAAAAGATAATAATACAACAATGGAATGTGAACACCGCAGATATATTGGCTATAAGTTTGGTTAGTACCATGACATATGTAGATTTTACATCGTTGTTTTACTTAAAGAGTCTAAAAAGAGTTTCACTTATGCACAATATAGTATATCTTTCAACATTAATCAAGGTATTAAACGAATGCATGCATATCCAAGATTTAGAAGTTACTATAGACCACTCACTTCAGGATGAGGGCAATAGAATACACAGGTGTGATGAAAATATAAACGCTATATCTTTGGACGAATCGTATTATGAATGTAATACCCATCAACATTGGATTGATTTTTGTGAAGCTCTTTCAAAAAACAAAACTTTGGAAGTGCTTAAATTAAGTGATGGCTGCCACCATTCGATAGAGAGTCTGGATGAGTCTGGTGAAATTATAGAAGATGAAAACGAAGAACCAATTATGGATCCCGAAGAAGAGAAGCTACGAGAAGATAGAATAAATAGTTTTAAACAGGTTTGGAAGAGTAATAAAACATTAAAATTTTTAGAATTGGTCTACTTTGCCGATACATGGGTATTGGAAGCATTAAACTCAATTGAAGATAGTGAAACTATTCGAATAATCGCATTGCATCCATGTCATGGCTCAAAACCGTACACCACTATTCCTCTATCCGATGAAGTTTTTTCAATGCTATGTCGAGTTATACGATTTCAAAAAACCATCACAGCTATTCATATTGGATCAGGCGCAATTTCAAATGATAATGTTGAAAATACAATCAAAAAAGAAATTTTAACAGCTCTTTGTAAAAAAAATATAATTAAGCTTTATTATAATAACTAAATAAATTAAACTCTATTATAAGATTTATAAATTTTGTTTTTATTTTTATTTTATTATTTATATTTTTTTATCTTTTTGAGCATAAAACTTTAAAAGGCAAAGGGGCCAATGTTGTTCCAGGTTCTCTTAGTTCCGGTATTAAAGAGTTTGAAACTGTTGAAAATTTAATTGATTTAAATAAAACCATTGCTACCAAATACACCTGTTGGAGTGCAAATTGAAAACCCAAACAATTTCTAGGGCCAATACCAAATGTAAGTAGTTTCTTTTCTAGCTGTTTATCATTAATAAAACGTTCTGGTATAAATTCTAATGGTTTATCCCAATTCTTTTCAGATAAGTGAGCTGCATATGTATTTATTATAACCTGAGAGGTTTTCGGAATAAAATATCCTCTTAATGTTATATCTTCATTTGTGGAATGAGGCTGTGAGAGGGGAGATATGGTATACAATCTTTCAACTTCTTTTAAAACTGCATTAAAGTATGGAGTTGTATTTTTGTTTGAATAAGATATTATTGAATCTTTTTTTATTTCACTATACACCTTTTCTTGAATTTCAGGACGGTTGCTTAGAGCCATAATTAGATGCAATATAAATAGAGCTGCTGTATCTGAACCTGCAATTAAAATATCTGTTGTTGTTTTTAATACCTCATTCATTGTCAGTTCACCACTTTTATATTTCAATAGTAGTAATTCTACAAAACAATTGGGTTTTGTTTCACTGTCGATTGAGTTTAGCTTGTCCATTACCAAATCATTAATAAATTTATAAATTTCAGCAAATATTTGATAATATTCTTTTGGTTCGTTTTTGTAAAATCTATGTATAAATGGAATATAGTCATAAATTAAAGGTTTGGCCCCAAATCTAAATATCTTATGAATATTTTCTACCATCTTATTTGCTATTTCATCGTTGTAATCTTCATAAGTAAAATTGAATAAAAAAGATAAAATTATATTTAGAAAACACATTTTAACATTTGCTGTGGGATCGTCAATTGCTCCATTATTAGCTTGCTCTTGAAATTTATTTAATAGTTTATTTGCTTCTTCAATAATCATTGTTTCATATTTTTTAATTTTATGATTGGGAAGTAATTCTTGAGTTGCAATTGAATGAAGTTTCTTCCAAACTTTACCATTTGAATTTACAATATTTTCTTCTGCATAAAGATAAATTTTAGTATTATCATAATAATGGATTCTGACTATAAATTATACTTACGTGATTTAAAAAGTTTACTTATTTTTACAAATCTATTCATAAATATATCCCCATTATCTATAAATGCTTCTTTTAAAATATCGTATTCACATAATACCACAGTATTTACAACTCCATATTTTACTTGATATATAGGTCCATATTTCTTATATAAATCGAATAAATATAAATATTGTTTGTTTTTTATAATTTCATTTAAATTTCCAATTATTGGGACTGACAATGGTGATGGAGGTCTGTTCTTTTTTAAATTGGGATAGGAAAAAAGATAAATTATAGAAAATAAAATAGCTATTATTAAAATTGACATTACTTTAATTAAATAATAAATTTTTTTTATTAAATAAATGAAATAAATATTTTTTTAAAAAAAGTTTTTTTTTTTTTTTTGGGGCGATAAATGGGGGAAAATTTTGTTTGTTAAAAAATTTTTAAAGAAAGATAAATTAATTAACCTATTAATAGATAAAATTTAATAAATACTGAGTTTTAATTATTAATACTTATATTTTTTTAGATAAGGGAAATTAAATTTTTTAATTTTTTAAATATTAAAATTAAATTATTATAATATTATTAATTTTAATAAACATATATAAGTAAAAAAAAGTATAAAAAAAAACAACTAATAAATAACTATATAATGTGTAATGAAAATGTAGTTTCATTAAATTTTAGATATTAAATTTTTATTTATACATTATTTGTATTTCATCAATAAAGTTCGGTAACTTTCCCATCGTTCTATCGGGAAAATGGTAGTTCCTATTTTATTAGAATTTGTCTTGTTACTTATAACCGAAGAGGGTGCCAAATCTCAACTGTGATAGTATAGTGAGTGTACAGTGCCCGGAATAAATAGGTGAATCCCCATACTTTATAAAGATGGAAATAATAAATATTGAATTAATAGGTCATATTTAATATTTAAATAAGAACCCCTAAAATAATCATATTACAAGATATTGGTTTGTTTGTTAAAAATTAAAAAAAAATAAAAAAAATAAAAAATATTTTCGCAATATTTTTTTGTTTTTTTAATTTTTAAAATTTTATTTGTATTTACTTTTAAATTTAGTTATTTAATTTTAGTTATTAAAGTTTGGTTTTTTATTTATGGTTGTTTAATTTGATTATAAAAAATAAAAAAATAAAAAATAAAATGAAATAATGGTATAAAAAAAAATTAATTATTAAATCTTTAAATTTTTTTTTTTTTTTTTTTTTTTTTTTTTTTAAAATTTTTATTTTCATTGGATTGCACCTTGGTGATTTTAATCAACCACTTTCAAATTCTCTTTCATCATTAAAATCATTAAAAAAACTATTCTTAGGTCTTTTCCATCAAGATTTATCAAATGGAGAGTTACCCTTTGGTAAACATTTATTACCAAATAATTTAGAATCTTTAACATTAAATAGTAAAAGTACTTTATTGGAAAATGATTTACCATCATCGATTACACAACTTTATTGTAATTTCGATGGTCAAAGTTCTTTCGAAATCAATTCTATTCCACCATCAGTTAAAACACTACGACTTACAACAAATACTTTACAACCTCTTCCAATCGGTTTAATTCCCAATTCAGTTGTTAAATTAACTCTACCTGATAATTATAATCATCCTCTTCCTGTAGGTGTATTACCAGAATCCCTCACTGAATTAACCCTTGGTAGTCACTATGATCAACCTCTAAATTCAAATACTATTCCCCAATCGGTTACTCTAATTTCTTTACATAATAAATCCTATCAACATCCAATACCAGAGTCTTTATCTAAAAAGCTAAAAATTATAAAAGATCGCAATTATTACTAATAAATGAAATCTATTTTCAAAAATAAAAAATAAAACTTTTATTTATTTTAATTTAAACTATTGTTTTCTAAATTACTTTTATTAGCCATAAAAAAATAGATAGATATTTTATTTAATATTTAATATTTAATATTTTACTATTTGTATTATTTCGAAATTTTATTTTTGGATGTTGGTAGAAGATCGAATAATCAATTTTTTGTTTAAAGTTTGAAATTAGATTGGTCTAATTTCTTTTGATCTGTGTTTTGTGGTGTATATTTGCTATACATTGATATAGCTTTTAAAAAGTTGTTGGACAGTGAAATGCATTTTTTTTTTAAGTTGTTGGACAGTAAAATGCATTTTTTTTTTTTTTTCTCCACATTAATTTTGTTATAATATATTTATCTTTCATTATGCCAAATTTATATGATACATTCAAAATGACAAATTTTAAAGGTTTTAAACCTTCCAAACCTTAAATATTATCAGTATTCAAAAAATTTTTTTTTTATGACAAATTTGCGCAATCTCGACATAAATTTTTTTTTTTTTACGCATTAATTTTTTAAAATATTTTGCTATGACAAATTCTCGCATTAATTTTTGTTGTAAAAGCTGGTCAAGTTTGCGCAGGAATTTTTTTATAATAAAAAAAATTTTTATTTTTTTTTTAAATTATTTTTTTATAAATTTATTTATATATTAATTATTTTTATAAATATATTTATTTAAACTCAAAAAAATATTATCTTTTATTTATTTATTTTAAAAAAAGAAATAATTGACAAATTTTTGCATTTTTTTTTGAAAAAAATTAATTTTTTTTTTTAAATTTTTTTTTTAATTTTTATGGATGCTCTGAAGTCAATAGTTAAATTTAAAAAATAAAAAAATAAAAAAATAAAAAATAAAAATAAATAAAATATAATGCGTTTGGATCAAAAAAAGCCATCCAAAAATTTTGAAAAAAAAAAAAAAAAAAAAAAATTTTTTTTTGAAATTTTAATATGGGAAATGTAAATAAAATTTTTTTTCCCACATAAAAATTTCAAAAAAAATTTTCATTTTATTTCAGTTTCACAATAAACTTAAAAATCATATAATTTTATTATTTATATTTTATTTATACTTTAAAAGTTACTTAACATTACACTTTTTTTCTCTACTAACTTACGATACTAAAACCCAGTAAAAGCTAAGTTAGTAGAGAATTTTAAAAGGTATATACAAAGGTATATCCAATCAAAGAAGAGAACGTAAATTCAGTCAAGGTTGAAATGGACCTTGCTCCTAAACTTAATGCCGCAGAAGAGTACATCATACAATTGTTGGAAGAAACGGAGAGAACAAAGATTTATCTGTCAAACTCAACAATGCATTAACTCTAAGGGATGAACAAATTAACTTGTTCAATGGGAAGTTGGGAAAGTAAAACTTCTTAAGGAAATGATGGAAGAACTCAGATTGAAGAGCCAGCCAGTTCCAAAAGATGAAGCAGTTACCAAGAAAAAAAATAACTATGAGTACTGAGACCGTGAATGAACTCAAGATGGAGCTCAGAGAATCAGTTGGAGGCTTCATAAACCGTGCAGAGTTTATTTTCCGTGACATCAATATCACTAAGGGTACTGATAAATTAGATCAGTTAATTAATAAGGTTCTTTACAGAGAAAATAAATGGGTAGCGTTTTTAAGAGGTTTAGAAGATTATAAAGCAAGAATGGAGAGAGAAGGTACTCATCCAGAATGGTCAGAAATGTGCAATATCATAAGAAAAGATGACAAAGTCGAACCTGGTGAAGCAGTTACTAATAGAGAAAGCCAAATCTAGCGTTAATGATGAGGTAAAGGATAACCTCATTAAAGTACTCAGGGATAGTATAGTTCTATTCAGGGAACAGATCAACCATTAAAGCTCAATTCATCGCAAAGTGAATCGAACAGGTATGGTTCTATTCAGGAACAGACCATCTATCAAAGCACAATTCATCGCAAAGTGAATCGAACAAGTATGGTTCTATTCAGGAACAGATCAACCATTAAAGCTCAATTCATCGCAAAGTGAATCGAACAAGTATGGTTCTATTCGGGAACAGACCATCTATCAAAGCACAATTCATCGCAAAGTGAATCGAACAGGTATGGTTCTATTTAGGAACAGATCAACCATTAAAGCTCAATTCATCGCAAAGTGAATCGAACAAGTATGGTTCTATTCAGGAACAGACCATCTATCAAAGCACAATTCATCGCAAAGTGAATCGAACAAGTATGGTTCTATTCGGGAACAGACCATCTATCAAAGCACAATTCATCGCAAAGTGAATCGAACAAGTATGGTTCTATTCAGGAACAGATCAACCATTAAAGCTCAATTCATCGCAAAGTGAATCGAACAAGTATGGTTCTATTCAGGAACAGACCATCTATCAAAGCACAATTCATCGCAAAGTGAATCGAACAGGTATGGTTCTATTCAGGAACAGATCAACCATTAAAGCTCAATTCACCACAAAGTGAATCGAACAGGTATGGTTCTATTCAGGAACAGACCATCTATCAAAGCACAATTCACCGCAAAGTGAATCGAACAAGTATGGTTCTATTCAGGAACAGATCAACCATTAAAGCTCAATTCATCGCAAAGTGAATCGAACAAGTATGGTTCTATTCAGGAACAGACCATCTATCAAAGCACAATTCATCGCAAAGTGAATCGAACAAGTATGGTTCTATTCGGGAACAGACCATCTATCAAAGCACAATTCATCGCAAAGTGAATCGAACAGGTATGGTTCTATTTAGGAACAGATCAACCATTAAAGCTCAATTCATCGCAAAGTGAATCGAACAAGTATGGTTCTATTCGGGAACAGACCATCTATCAAAGCACAATTCATCGCAAAGTGAATAGAACACCTGAGACTAAGAATTTTAAGAAGAGTGAAGGCATAAATGCTATAATTGCCAAGAAGAAGGACATAGATTCGCCCAGTGCCCTAAAGGTAAAGGAGGTAAATCTCAATAATTTTAATGTTGAAGCAGGCGAGCAAGATTCTGGAAGTCTTGCTATGTATGTACGAGTAGGTAATCAGTGGGTGCATGCATTAATTGATACTGGTTGTAATATTAGTTTAATTAATCCGAAGTATACAAGAAAGAAATTCAAGGGTATTAAAACTTCTGCAAGAATTAAAGTACCGGCTGGGAAAGATGCGAAGGACTATAAGGAGTACATGTCAAATTAGAAAATGATAGATTTAGAAGTCAAAATTTTGTATATGAAAGAAAGAAGAAACTATTATCAGAAGATGCAAAGTTTGAAGGAAAGAACATGGGATTTATTCGAATTTCAATTTAGATATCACTTTGGTCCCCGTTTTGATAACACAGACTTAATATCAAGTTTAAAAGGTGATGCGTTAATTCATTTACAGAATGAATCCAAATGGTAACAATTCAAGAAGAGAATTTATTACAGTCAATGGCCATGTATTTTAATACATCACAAGGTAAAATTTCAACACAAATGAAGCTTCAAATAGTCGAAATGGAACATGAACTAGTGTTGGTACCATATTCAATCTATCAAATCAAAAATATCCACTTTTTACAAATTACCAGAAAATACCCTTATTTTTTTTTTATTTTTTTTTTTTATAAAAACGATGATCAAAAACATCTTTTTTTATTTATTATTATTAAAATATTTTCATTATTTCAATAAATTTATTAATAAATAATTATTTATAATTTTTTTGATTTATTTTCAATAGTTTTTTTATTTTAGAATTAAATGAATATTACAGTTATAATTATATCTCAACTAAATAATATATTTATATTTTCCTTTATTTTAAATAATTTATGTTAACACTTAATTCGTAATTAATTAATTAATTGAATTTTAATGATAATACATTACAACAGTAGTTGGAAGCAAAGGAATCGTCAGGAAAGCATTTTTTTTTTTTTGTTTTTTTTTAAGTAAGTTTACTTAATAATATAATAAATATTATTAGTGTAAGCGACGGTGTTTATTTATATTAAAATATAAGAAGAAGTAAGGGTTGGGGTAAGGTTGAAGCAACCTCTCTAGTTTTTTTTTTCTTAGATTTTTGTTGAATAGCAGGTGATTTCAGACCTGATAGGTACGGAGTGGTTGTGATTGGAGTGGATATTTGGCTAACATTCCGAGTACGGTTACTTTTTGTGGTGGTATTCATATTTGTTATGGCGGTTTTATTTTGGGAAGTTGGTTAAACTAATCTTGTAAAGATGTTGTTTAGTGCATTAACCCTGTATGATTTATTGTCATCTTGAGGTGATTGGTTTTTTATTTGTTTGTTTGTTTGGTCATTAGATATTTCCTCATGATCTAATGTGTTAGTTGAATTGTTAGATTCATTATCAGAAATAGTTTCTTTGTAATCATCATCTTGATCATTAAAGTCGACCCTATCTTTTTTGATTAATTGATTGATTATGGTAATGTTGTTATCAATTTCTTTATCAGTGGAGACCCCTAGTATATCTTCATTGATTAGTTGATTGATTTTGTTGTTAGGATGATTTTTTGATTTTGTTGCAGACTTAATCTTAATATGATAGTAAGGTGGTTGGAGTAGCTTTGATTGAGTTGTTTTTGCTTTCAATGAGGTGGAAAAAGGAGGTATTGTTTTTGTTGACTTTGATGTGAGAAAAGAAGAAGTCAATTATTAGGTTAAGTTGTTCTTTTAACACTTATGATCTTGTTCAAAGGTTGCTGGAAAATCCAATTACCATATAGTAATCGTCACGGTGTGTGATGAACTTTTACATTACAATTTTTTCTCTGAACTCTGGGAAGATAATAACCAGGAAGATATTTATATCATTAAAATGTTGTGGGGAAATCCGAGAATCGAACTCAGGACGCTACCACCCAAAGGTAGCATTATACCACTTAACTAATTTCCCAATTATTGGAATGATTGTTATGAAAAGGTATATCACTATGAAGAAGTTACACAACTAAAATACTTAACGAAAATATAATAAACTCTAAAATAAACACTTATGGAGACGCAATAAAATATATTAACACAAACTAAATAATAAACACTAAAACACTTAAATTACTTAAAAACACTTAAAACAATTATGAGAACACTGAAATATACTTTATTTATTATTTATCTTTATTACTTGTTTAAACATATATATAACTAACTAAAATAAACTAAGAAACTCTAAAGTTTTAGACTGAGGACTTGAGGTATTTATACTGAATGAGATTGGTTCTAGAAGCTAATTCTTAAGTAGTTGAAATACTGGCATTGGTAGTTATTATTAAAAAGCAGTTACAAAATACTGGAATTGGCAGTTATTAAAAAGCAGTTATAAAATACATTTTTACTTAAAGATATAGACTATCGATTATCATATTTGTTTTAAGTGTTTATTATTTAGTTTGGGTTAATATATTTTATTGCGTCTCCATAAGTGTTTATTTTAGAGTTTATTATATTTTCGTTAAGTATTTTAGTTGTGTAACTTAGTCATAATCATTTCTAGTTATAAGTATATATACATATAACTAAAATAAAGTATAACATTTAAAAAATATATAAAAAAAATAGAAAAAAATTATAAAAAAAAATTAAAAGAAGGTCAAAAAAGAAAAAAATTATAATGGGTTATTTTAAATCTATTAGTAAATTTTATAAAATGGATAAAAATGAAATTTTTTTTTAAAAAATAGAGAGAATTTTTAAATAGATTGGCTAATGATAATTTTGTTTAACCTTTATTTAGAAATTAAATTAAAATTTTTATTGTGCATAAAAAATACAAATTTAATCAAAAATAATTTCTATTAAATAGAGAATTGATCCACCGGCATATCCATGTTTGTAACCAGTACCATATGATCTATTTGAAGTAAATGTAACTTCTTGAGTGGTAACTGTTATTGCTTTTGTTACATTTACACCATAAGATTGTGGACCATCAAAGTTTTCATAATAAACTAGGTATGCATTTCTTTTTTCAGTTTCAGAACCTTCTTTAAAAACAAAGTTTTCAACTACATTACCAGCTTTTATTGTCCAATCAGCCTCATAAACAATTTGATGATGGAATTTGACTTTGAATGTTCTTGATTTTGCACTTGGGAACTTTACAATCAATGTGTTTGGTTCATTTTTGATTGCAGCTTTAATAGCCTTTGAAAAATAATTAGTAAATAGCTTAAAGGAATATAAAAATCTAACTAAAAATAATTACTCTGAAACCACTTGTCAAACTATTGGACATAAAGGTCCAGTTTCTTAAAATGTTTGGCCCCAATAAATGTGATCCTGTGGAGCCATCTACTTCATAAGTAATATTAGGAGGATTTCTACTGTAGGAAAGAGCTCTGACTGGATAATAGGTGGGGTCAGCATTTTTGAATACTCTAGCTGCATCAAAATAGGGTGGGAGAACGTATCCAAAAGATGGTGCAAGTTCACCATAGTAATGACGTGATAGAATCCATCCACATTTAATTACTTTTTGAATAAATTCAATTGATTTAGAATGTAATCTTGATTTGGCATCATTTACATCAAAATCACTGAAACCCCATTCTTTACCATAAATTGCACAATCTCTTTGAATACATAGATATTGAGCAGCGGTTAATATATAGAAACCAATGGTGTTAATCTGTTTTTAAATAAATATTATTAATAGATTTTTTAAAACTTTCAAAAGTATAAAAACAACTACTATACTTACCAATTCACTTTCTTCTTCAAAATAAACCAAACCGTCAGTAATTTGATTACGATAAATCATTAATTGGATTTGAAGAGATGATAAAAGTGTTTCATTTGGCATTGATTTGATTTCATTTGATATTAAAGAATCATCTACATTTTTTTTACCATTTCTTTTGAAATACTCTTCAGCCATAAAAAAATATTCATCACCAGTTTTTTGAAGTTGTTGGAATTTAATATTGCATTGTCTTCTTCTTTCGTCACTTATTTTTTTATCAATGAGCTGTTCAACTGCTTCCATGATTTGTTTGAGACTAAATTATTGTAAAAAATTATTAATAAAATATACCTCTTAAAAATTTAATTGATAGTACTTACAATCTCTCTTGATTGCCGAAAAAACCAAGTTTCTCAAAAAGAAAGTTCACTGCACCAAAGATTATCGGTGCACTAACAAGATCTGGGTAGGCTGATATTGCCAAACCTAAAATTGGCATTAAATCGGTAAAAGGAAGTTCAGCATATAGTTCTTTTGCACCCTTTTCAGCTTGAATCTCTTGAAAAGCTATTCTAAGATCATCCATTTCTTCAGCATCAAAGGCAGTAATGGAACTATCAATTTTTTTTGACTCTTGTAATTGTTCATCTAAATAAAGTTTAAATTTTTCATCATAGTTTTCATTAACTTTTTTGAATCTATCTCTACCTATAATATTTTTAAAAAATTATTAATATTAATATTTCCTGAAATTATAAAGCTATAATTTTACATACATTCCTGTAGACGTGTAATTTGTTCATTTGAAAGAGACATTGTATATAATTTATAAATGATAATAAATGGAAAAAAAAAAAATTAAATTTATTTTAAAAAATAAATTAATTTATTTTTAATTAAAAAAAATTAAAAAAAAAAATTAAAAAAAAATTGAACATGCTAATAATTATTCAAAACTGATATTTTTCTTTGTGATTCTAATTTTGATAAACAAAAAGAGTAAAAATAAACAAGAAGAGTAAAAATAAAAAAAAAAAAACCTCCCTGGTTTTTTACAAAATTTTATATTTGGATTGGGATTTTGAATTATCATAAAGATTAAAAAAAAAAAAAACAAAAAAGGGTGGTTTTTAATTTTTAATATATGAATGGATATATTATAATAAAATATAAATTAAATCCTCTCATTATATATTGCATCAAACTGATTTATTTTTCATGTTCTTGTTTAACATATAAAAAAAATTTATCCATTCATATATTTAAAAATTGAAAACAACCCCAATTTTTTTATTGTAAATATTTAGGCGATCCGATACCCCTATCTAATGATTTATAATGATTTGATAAACAAATGGAATTTCATGAATTTATAAAAAAACATTAAATAACTTTTATCATAAAATATAATTAAAATAATATCATTATATAATACATAATTTACAATAATAAACCTTTACTAAGGTAGATTTCATATTTGTTTAACTATAATTATAATAATTATCAACAGACCCCAAAAAATACTAAAAAATATTAAAATTTTTAATAAAAAAAATATAAAAACACAATTTTGTAAAAAAAAAAAAATTAACCCCTAAGAAAAAATTTTTAAAAAAAAGCAAAATAAATTTTTTTTTTTTTTTAGCCTGAGTGCACATTAAATTTTTTGTTTTTTTAATAATAACTATAACAATAAAATAAAGAAAAAATTATTTACATTTAATATCTTTCGGTTTCGAATGGTTCGATTTGCTCTGATGAAATATTACAAAATAAAGAACCCACCTCTTTACTTTGTTCGTTATTAAGTTTTACATGATGAGTATAATCGCCATATCCATTACCCGGGATAGCCAAGTCGACTCTGATTCCACCAATATAATCGTCTACAATCAAATCCTTATCCCATACTTCTAAGTCAACGTATCTAGTCTTATTACTGAGAATAACATATTGCACATGATCCCATTGTGGGATTAATGTTTTATGACAAACACTGGTTTTGAAAAGTTGTTTAAATTTACATTCATCTTTACGAATATCCTTAACCTTAACCTTCATTGCTTTTACATAAGGATCTGCTGCACCATTACTTTTTTTTTAAAATAAAGATAATTAATAAACCATTATAGCTATATAAAAATATAATATAAACTTTATCATACCTATCATATCCATCATAAATATAGGCATTTTCGATATTGAATTTATAAATTGAATAATGAGATGGGTTTTTCTTTTTTTTAAGTTCTGATATAGCATGTGAAAGTGATGAGTGGTCATGTGAATGTTTTTTTGGTTCCGATGGTTCATAATATTTGTGTGATGTTGGTTCGATTGGTGTTGTTACACCTACATATGGAGTTGAAGTTGGTTGTGGAATGAAAACTGATGAAACTGGTTGGTCATTAAAATATGGTGTTGATACTGGTTGTTGAACGTAAGGTTGAGTTGAACCTACATAAACAGATTGATCATTTTTTGGGTGTGAACCAAAATAATGTGTATTTTTTTGAGATTCTTCATCTAATTTAAAAAAATAAAATGGTTATTAATAATAAGTAATTTTTTTTTTTTTTTTTTTTTGATTATTTTTTTTATTTACGATGTCCTCCATAATACCCTGAAAATGGTTTCATTTTATTTATTTATTATAATTATTATGTGTATAAAAAAAAATAAAAAAATAAAAAAAGGTGAAATTGTGATGAAAAAAGTGATCAAAAAAAAAAAAAAAAAAATTAAAAAATAAAAAAGTCTGATTTTTTACAACCGTTTTTTTTTGGAGAAAATTAATTGATTATAATGATATTTATTATTTAATTATTACTAATAAATTAATATTTTTTTTTATACATTCTCATTACTTGTAAAAAAATAAAAAATAAAAATTAAATAAATTTTAAAAAAATTTTAATTTTTTTTTTAATATTTTATAATTTTTTTTTTTTAATTTATTAAATTATTTTTTACTATAATGACTAAAACATTTATAATTAATGGAAATAATATAAATAATATCGAAACTTTTTATAAAGAAATAAACGAAATTTTTATGAAAAATGTAGATTGGAAATTGGGTGCAAGTTTGGATGCTTTAAATGATATGTTGTATGGTGGATTTGGCGAAATAGATGGCAATGAAGAAGTTATATTTATATGGAAAAATTTTGAAAAAAACAAAATCGATTTAGGCTATGAATGCACCAAGGAATACTACGAAAACAAATTAAAATCACCACAAATTTTCAATGTAAAACATTTTCAAGAGGAAATAGAAAAATTAGAAAAGGGTCAAGGTCAAACTTATATGGATATAATATTAGAAATAATTAATGATCATAAAAATATTAAATTAATTAAACAATAAATAAATAAAAAAAAAAAAAAGTTTATATTGTTAATATTAATATTTATAAATTCCTATATAAAATTAATAATAAATAAATTAATAAATATTCAAATAAAACAACACACATAATAAAAAAAATATAGTACCCCACAACACATTAAAAAATTTTTTTATTTTTTATTATTTAATTTCGTTCAATACTATGAACTTGGATAGTAATAAAAATTCATATTTATTTTTAAAAGTTTGGAAAAATGTTTATATAAGATCTATTATTATTGGGCACTTGAAGGTATGTATTCAAACTATTGTTTTTATTTTATCAAAAAATATTAATATTTAATTTTAATTTTTAGCTATTTAATATTCACTATTACCAAAGAGTTATAAATAACGAAGAAGACGTCAAGTCATTAAAAAAATATAAATATAAAGATTATTTAAGGGCCATTAAAATCAATTTAAAGAATGAACAAAAATCATTAATTGTAGATCTATTAAACAGCTTACCAAGCTCAGTGGATTCAATCGAGTTTGATGGATTAAAGTATTATTATTCAAACTCTGATGAGTATAATGAAAGCGAACATGACACATGTAGCTCATCTAGTGATGAAAGTAGTGAAGATAATAGCAGTAGCGATAATTTAGCACCATATAACCAAAACCACCAACATCATTTTAATCACAATCCAATTCAGCAATACCAACATCATTTATACCATAACCAATCTAAACCTCACCATCACCACCACCACCACCACCATCATCATCATCATCATCATCATGGGAGTAGTATTCATCATTTTCATTATAAAGAGCATGAAAAAATTAATAGTAAATATTATCAAAAATCAACTAGTAATAATAAAGAATTTAAATATATTGTTGATTTAATTAATAATATACCAGATACAGTTGTAAATATCAGAACATCAAACCAGTTTAATTCCCCTATACCAAGCTCGACTAAATTACCAAATAGATGGATAAAAATAGAGCTATCAGACATGTTTAATCAACCTTTAAGCAGAGTGCCAGCAATTACACTTGGTAATAATTTACAGGTGCTTCAATTGGGTAGCCCAACTAGTGGAAGATTTAATCAACCTATTGAACCTGGAGTATTGCCTGCATCTATAACCAAACTGGGTTTATCATATGAATTTAATCAAAAGTTATTACCAAATAGTATTCCTCCAAATGTTACTCATCTTACTTTTGGAAATAGATTCAATCAATCCATTAAAATGGGAGTTCTACCATCGAAAATTAAATATATTTATTTTGGGAACATGTTCAATCAAAATATTAAACCAAGGGTTTTACCGGATTCACTAGAGACATTAGAGTTTTCAGCATTTGGAGAATTTAAAAGAAAACTAAAAGAGGGTAGTCTTCCGCCCAATGTAAAAACTTTGATGTTTGGTGTATACTTTCATCAAAATATCGAAGATGAAAACACTGGTCATTCCATTTTACCGCCATCCCTAACTAGACTCATATTTTATAACCACGAATTTCAAGAGGAAATACCACCTTATGCTTATCACTTATTTAGACTAATACCATCACAACTTCCGATAATTAAAGCTGGAGTTTTGCCAACCACTCTAAAACATCTACAGGTTGGATCTCAACAAATTATTGAACCAAATTCTCTTCCTAGAAGCCTTACATCAATTAAAGGTTGCAAATTAGAATACCTCGCAGAATTACCAACAAGTGTTATTTCATTCCATTTCCATTATATATTCAATAAAAAATTAGAAAATGCTCTATTCATCATTCCCAAGCACATCAAGAGATTGATATTTGGTCATGACTATAATCAAACATTAAATGAATCATTCCATTCATTAGTAAACCTCGAGTATTTAGAATTTGGTTCTATTTATAATAAATCTATTGATGTGGGAATTCTTCCTTCTCATTTAAAGACATTAGTGTTTGGTAATAGATTTAATCAATTCATTAAAGAAGGCTCTTTACCAGAATCATTGGTTTCAATTATACTGGGAACCGAATTTCAAAAACCTTTAGTAAACCAATCAGGTCATACTTTACTACCAAAACATCTAAAAGCTATCAAACTATCGGGTAACTATAATAGAACATTTACTCCAACAACATTTCCACCATCGATTACTTTATTAGAGTTACCCGAAGGCTACAACAAAGCAATTTCAATTGATTGGCTTCCACACAATATCGAAAAACTTATAATAAGAGGTTCACCAACATTACATTTACCACTCCCACCAACACTCAACACTATTTTTTTAAATTTAAAAAATGAAAAATTTATATTTTTAAATTTTAATATTATACCACAAATTTCAAATTTATTAAATGTTATCGATGTTTTTATAAATAATAATAATAATAATGACGATGATGATAGTAATATGGAAAATAAAAGCGATATAAAATTTAATAACTATAATAATTATAAACCAAGTTGTTCAAATATCAATATAAACAATTGTTATAACACCTCTTTTTTAAAAAAAGCTAATAACGAATAACCATTAAAAAAAAGCTATAATAAAATTAAATTGATTTTCTCCTATACTAATCTTTTTTTTTTTTTTTTTTTCGTTATTAATAACATGTCTCTTCATCTTTTAAAAAATTTTTATTTTTATTTTTATTTTTATTTTTTTTTTATTATTTATTTTTTTTTTTTTTTTTTTTTTAGAAGTTAATATCCTTTGAAAAACATTTTTTATAAAAGATAAAACAAATAACCCACACACACACAAAAAATTTTAATTTATTTTTTTAATTTTTTCTATTTTTTTTTTTAAAAATTTTTTAATTAATACTAATATGAAATAATAATTAAATTTCATATTATTAAAGAAATATCATATGGATGATATTAATATCAGTTGTAAAAGCAATAATACAAATTTTAATATAAATAGTAGTAATAATAATAATAGTAATAATAGTAATAATAGTTTTAATAATATAAATTTAAGAAATTCATATTTATTTTATAAAATTTGGAAAAATGTTTATATAAAATCCATTATTGTTTTTCATATGAAGTTATTCAGTTTTCATTATTCACAATTTTTAATAAAGAATGAAGATGAAGTCAAAAAGTTCAATATATATCCATATAAAAGTTATATTAGGTCACTAAAATTACATTTTAATAATAGTGAACAGAGACCAATACTTTTGGAAATTTTAAGAAATATGCCAGAGTTTGTAGAAGAGGTCGAATTTGATGCATTTCGATATTTGTTTGATAACAATTGCAACGATGATGAAAACTCATCAATGCAGGATCAAATACTGTCCCAAATATTAGAGGTTTTAAGTTGTTTGCCTCCATCGATCAAGGTTATACGAGCAAGTAGTATTTTCAACTCTCCTTTGCCACTAAATTGTTTACCGAGGAATTTAGAGGCATTTATAATGAGTAGTAGCTTTAACTTACCACTATACAGAATACCGGCAATAACTCAGAGCAATACTATTACAACTTTAATATTGGGTAATATGAAATGCGGGAAATTCAACCAAACTCTACCACCTCACTCACTTCCTCTGTCTTTAACCACCCTTGATGTTGGATATGAATTTAATCAAGATTTGCTGCCAAATAGCCTACCGATGAATTTACTGCACCTTTCATTTGGAAATAGATACAATAAAGAACTTGGAGTTGGAGTATTACCAAGAAAGTTAAAGACCATTCATTTTGGTGATTGTTTTAATAAACCGTTAAAGATTGGGGTGTTGCCCATATCGATGGAACAAGTAGTGTTTTCTCCATTTTGCGAATTCAATCAAGTATTAGAATTGGGGACGTTTCCATCTAGCATCCATACATTAAAGTTTGGTGTATATTTTCAAAAAGCAATCTGTTTTAAAGGGATTTCATTTTTACCATCGAGTTTAAGGTGTCTTGTTTTCAACAACAAAGAAAGCTCATTAACAGAAGTTCGTCATTTTTTTCATTCGTACTATAGTTTTATTTCGACCAATACACCCATAATAAAAAAAGGTTCACTACCCCAACACATAGAGTATTTACAAATAGGCGCAAATCAAACCATCAAAGAACATTCTATACCTTCAAGCGTAACCTCCATAAATGGTTGTAAGTTAGAAGATTTAAAATCAAAATTTATGCCGCCATCTATCCACACATTCACGTTCGATTTTTATTTTAACAATAAATTACTTAATGCATCCTCACACATTCCCAACAACATTACAACACTAATATTTGGTAATGACTACAATCAAGATCTAGATCAGTCCTTTTCACAATTAAAGTCAATAACCTATTTAGAATTTGGATACTCTTTTGATAAAATAATAGAATCTAATGTTTTACCGGTTAGTTTAAAAACTTTAGTATTTGTAAATATTTATTTTGTATAATAAATAATATAATGTAATATGGTTTTATTAATTTGAATTTTCTTATTTATAGGGTCATAGATTTAATCAAATTATCAAATCAGTTCCAGATTCATTAGAAAATATTTTATTTGGATATTCTTTTAACCAAATTATCAAGACGGAGGATTCGTCATTATCGCCAAACTCATTGAAATCAGATAATACAATTTTTTTAACAAAAAATATAAAATCAATTAAATTTGGATATTCATTCACACAATCATTAGCAATAAATGATTTTTTAAAAGATTTTAGCAATTTAAAATTATTAGAGTTTGGAGTTTCTTTCACTGAATCGATATCAACAAAATATTTACCTTCAAATTTACAAGTTTTGGTTGTTAGAGGTTGTCCCGTAATCGAGATACCATTACCTCAAATATTAAATTCAATATATTTCAACAATAGCAACAAAAACAATTGTTTTTTAAATTCAAATTTAAAACAATTACCATATTTAATAAATGTATTAAAAGTTATTGATGATGGTAGTCATTCAAAGTCTGAAAATGATTTCTTTTTAAATAAAATAAACAATTTAAAAATGTAAATTATTTAATAAAAAATAAAATTAAACAAAAAAAAAAAAAAAAAAAAAAAAAAAAAACTTTTATTAATTTATTTGTTTATATATTAATTTATCAGGTTGTATGTTTTTCTGGTTATGTGTTTGAGGACATCTGTTTAAAACCACGATTTAAATGTTTTACCAGCCAGATCTATATTTTTTATTTTCTTTCATATTAACATGTTTTTTTTCTAAAATAATATTAATATTATTTTTAATCGATGTGTTTACATAAACATACACATAACCAACAATTAATAAACAGTTGTGCAAAAAAACTTAAAATTACCACCTTTGCAATTTTTTTTAATTTTAAAAACTTTTTCTTTTTTTTTTCTAATTTTTTTAAATAAAAAATTAAATTTAAAAAAAATATCTTTTTATTTTAATTATAAAAAATAATGGGCAACATTCATAGTGATAATAATAGAAATAGCAATAAAAGTTATAATGTAAATAATAATAATAATAATAATAATAATAATAATAATAATAATAATAATGATGATATTAATAATAATTGTAATAATAATGATGATATTTTAATTGAAAATAAAAATTCAATATTTTTAAATAAAATTTTAAATAATTTGGTCATAAAAAGAGAAATATTTAATAAAGTTAGATTATTTAATAGTCACTCTAGACCATTTATTATTAGTTTTCAAGAGGTATCAGATATCCATTTGTTACTAAACTATAGATACAAAGATTATATTAGAGAAGTTAAAATATTTGATTTTTTTTATGACAATTATCAACACATTCAATATTTAAATGAAATTATTCAGTCTTTAGAAACATTAGAATCCATAGAATTTAATGTCGTCTATTCTACATACTCCTCACAGTTTATCAAGGACCGAATTAAAATGGTCGATGTAAAAAACAATTTAAAGGAAATTAAATTGAATCTTATCAATTATAACGATTTTATAGATTTCAACTATGATATGGTTCAATCTCTAAAACTAAGCACAATAAATCCAAGTCAAATGAAACGTTTATGTAATCTTAGAGAGTTGGAGTTCTATGCAAGCTTTGATGAAGAAATACCAAAGAATTGTTTACCATCGACTCTTCGTACAATTAAATTTGGAGCATTGTTTAACAGGGACTTAAATAAAGACAATTTGCCATGCAACTTGGTCGAGTTAATTTTCTCAAATGATTGTGTATTTCAAAAAAAGTTAGAGGCAGGCTCTCTTCCGGAAACACTTGAGAAATTGGTTTTTGGCAACGCTCAAACATTTTCGTTAAAAGGGGTGTTACCAAGAAATTTAAAATATTTAGTAACTGGCCTATGCAAAAAACTAAATCCAGGCGATTTACCAGAAGGATTGGAGTATTTAGAGCTTGGTAATGGCAGTTTCACTAATGAATCAATACCAAAAGGTGTGCTACCAAAATCATTAAAGGTTTTAAAGATCGATTTAAATTGGGCAAAAGATAGATTAACAAAAGAGCGTATATCACTACCAAATGGCTTAAAGAAATTAAAGTTTTCACCATTTAATAAAAATCCATATGTCATAGAACCAAATGCCGATACTTTTATTCCAGAATCAGTTACATCTCTACAGCTTCCACCAATTATTACTATAAATTCCAAAACCATTCCACCAACAGTAAAAAAAGTTAGCAGATTACATTTTTCAAAAGTTCAATTTTTACCAAATACTGTTGAATATTATAAATTACCATATTATACAAATGCTATATTCACAAAAGAAGGTCCAAATAGCTTCCCACACAATTTGACATCCATTTCATTCGATCACTATTACAACCTCAATCTTACTCCAGGTATTTTCTCAAATAATATAAAGCATTTAAGATTTGGTAAGCTTTTTAATCAACCTATTGAAAAAAATACATTTCCAACTTCATTGGAATCTCTTTTATTTTCAAGTAATTTTAAAAAACCATTGGATCTTTCAAATAATACCAACCTAAAGTATATAAAGTTTGGCAATTCATATGATATTCCTTTTAAAAAATGTCAAGAAAATAATGAAAATGATAATAATAATAATATTACCAGTGATACAACAAAAGAAGATGAAACAAATAAAGAATTAATAACTATCCTTCCAAACTCATTAAAGATACTAGAGGTTGGTATGCAATTTTCTCAAATACTATCAAATGATAGTTTACCAGAGTCTCTTGAACAATTATTATTAGTTGGTCCATCTGCAAAAGTTATAACTCCATTACCCCCAAATTTACATACTATTTATTTAAATACTATAAATATTTCGTCTTTATCAAAATATATCCAACAATTTTCACCATATTCTGATAATAATAATTGTTATTTAATTAAGCCAATAGAAAGAAAACTTTTAAAAAAACTAATAAATAAAAATTAATAAAATAAATTAGATAAATAGATTAAAATAAAAAAAAATAAAAAAAAGTTTTTTGTTGTTATTATATTATTGTAATGTAAAATTAAATACTTATTTTAATTTTTATTTTACAAGTGTTTATTTTATATAATAATAAAATTAAAAAAATATAGATGTTTTTTTTTTAATAATTAAATTTTTTAAAATATTAAGTTTTTTAAAATTTTTGGCAAAAGAACAAAAACTTAAAATAATTTACATAAAAAAATTCAAAATATATAAGTCTTGAAAAAAATATAACTTTAAAAAATACTAAGTAAAATATAATATTTTATATTATAATAATAAGTTTTTTTGTTATAAATATAAAATTTTTTTTTTATTTTATATAATTTTCATAAAATGACATTTCCATTTTATTTAATCAAGAAAATTATTAAGATGTTGTGTAAAGAATATAACAACAATAATAAACTAGAAATGATTGGCAAAATGAAAAAAGAAGATCTAATGAAATATTCTGGCAATTTTTTAAAAAATATTGCCATGGTCAATAAGAGATGTTTTATAATATGTTCAATGTACACCAAGATAATAGTTGATTTTGGTATTTCAAATAGCTATAACGCAAAACTAATTAACTTGATTCAAACAAAAAAAGATATTACAAATTTAGAAGAAGGAAACTTTAAATTATATAAAGTTGAAAATATTAAATATTTAAAATTAAATTTAGAAAATTTCTCGACTCTAAATTATTTTAGAATACAACAATTAATAGAAAAGTATCTATCAACTTTCAAAAATGTAAAGTCCATAACTGTGATGAATAACCATTCATTAGATAGTTACAAGTTCATTGACGAGCTTAATTTTGATAATGTTCATATTGACTTGATTAAAGTAATTAGAAATTCCAATTTTAATCTCCCAAAAAAAATTCAGAGAATAAATAACATGAAGCTCCACTCCAATATTGCCACACCAACTTTATTAAATACAATTAAAAATGTAAAGAAAATAAACAATTTAAAAATAAAAAATTTAAATAATATCAATAATATCAATGACAATAATAATAAAGTTATAAACAATATAAACTACAATATCAATGATAATGATCAGTGTACAATTGATTTTAAATTAGTTTATAAAACACTTTATCCGGAATCAAATAAAAAAGAACAAGTATCTTTATTCAACCCCTTTTACAAGATGGAATCATTTTCGGTAAAAAGTATAGAATTAGAAAATCTATATTATTTATTAATATTATCACCGAATTTAAAACAATTAAAAATTAAAGATAAAGTAACCATATCAAATCAAAGTAATATCACTTTTGAAATGGTGAAAGATTTTTATGCCCAAAACAACCACCTCAATAACAATAACCAAAATCAACTTGTATCTTCAAGTTAAACAAT